CAGTAGTAGTAGGAGTTGGAATAGGGTCTGCAACAACAGGTTGTGAGGAAGAGGGAAGACCAGAGGAGTCATCTGGACACAACCATTTTTCCATGTGCAATACTTGTGGACGAGATAGTTGATAGTTGGTTGTGAATGGAAAAATATGTTCAACGAATACGACATGCCTAGAGATATAGACTTTTAAAGTGGCAAGGTCTAGGCAAGCATAACTATTTGTGGCAGCGGAATATCCCATAAATACACAAGGATTGGACTTGGGATAAAGTTTCGTTGATGTGTAGGGCTTTAACCATGGATAGCAAAGACAACCAAAGACCCTTAGTTTAAGAGGGTTTGGGGTGGTATTAAAGAGACACTGAAATGGAGATTTAAGACCAAGAAGTGGTGCTGGCAACCTGTTAATGAGGCAGACTGCAGATTGGAATACGAGAGACCAAAATTTGAGAGGGATAGAAGCATGGTGAGAGTTAAAGCAGTGTCCACAACATGGCAATGTTTTCTTTTGGCAGTGCCAACTAGTTGGGGAGTGTATGGAGGGCTTATGAGATGTTGGATCCCAAAGCTCAAGAGAGTGGATTTAAGGCCAATGTATTCACCTCCGCCATTAGTGTACATCATTTTAATTCTCAGTTGAAATTGGTTTTGAACTATTAGAACAAAATTAGTGAAAATTTCCTTCACATCTGATTTGGATTTTAAAGAAAACAACCAAATATATTTTGTGAAATGATCAACAAAAATAATATAGAATCTGAAATTATCAAAAGAGATAGTTGGAGAAAGACCCCAAACATCTGAGTAAATAACATCAAAGGCCTAGAACTTGTAATTGAATTGTCACCAAATGGTAGCCGATGATTCTTATTGCATAAACAAGAATTACATAATGTAAAGGACTCGACATGGCTCACTGGTAGGTTGAAATAAGAGACACAAGCTTTGGTAATACGAGGTTGAGGATGACCAAGACGAGCATGCCACAGATGCAATGATGGAGATGTTGATGCAACAAAATATGCTTGAGGACGAGGTGTGACTGATTTGCTTATGTCTGCGGGCCTCTCATAGAGATCACCATTACTCTTGCCTTGAAGAAGACATGCCCCCGTGCTCAAATCCTTCACAGTAAAAGAATAAGGAAAAAATTCAATGGAAGTTAGATTTTGCCTACAAAATTGAGCAATAGAAATCAACTTCTTTTTTATAGATTGAGAGAAAAGAACATCTTTTAAAAGAAATTTGGCTACGAGACTAGGAGAAGATAAAGTAGTGTGACCAATATGAGTAATAGGAATTCGTTTACCATCACCAATAATTATTGCATCCGTTCTAGAGAACTCAGTTGGAGTCTGGAGAGATTGAGAGTTGTTTGTAATGTGATGAGAGGCTCCAGAATCAATAACCCAAGGGCTTGGGGAACGGGTGAACCACTGCAAGCCAAAGCATTTGTAATGGACTTGATTTCTCTCATATAATCACTGATTGAACATGCATCTCGTTTGACATTTGCCAGAGTATCGCGCAAACTGAAAATTCTTGAGTGCGATTTGTTGGCATAAGTTGTTTGGAGAATATCCCAAGCTTCTTTGGCAGTGGAAGCATGGGCGATGAGGGGAGCGATTGTAGCGTCAACTGATGCCATAATAGCATTGCGAACAAGACTGTCTTGTCGCTGCACAATCTCAAGTTGGGTTGGGAATTTGGTTATTGTCTTTGTCCAGAGAATGCACATTTGGGATGGGAAGTGAGCCATCAACAAAGGTAAGAAGATCGTAACCAAAACAATAGTGTGGTAACTTGGGATTTCCAAGTTGGATAATTTGCACTTCCTGTTAATTTGAAGGATAGTTGGGATGCAGGGTCAAAAGAGATCAATTGAGAGGGTTGAATGACACCCCCTTGATTGAGAGTGACTGTTGGAGAGTTAGGGGACGAGGAAGAGGAAGTATCAAGCATTCTCGAACAAAAAGGAAGCATCGAAATGCTGGGAAAAAAAAGAAGAGGATCAGATATACTCGTTAAAGTATTTAGTAGGCTCTTGATACCATATAACTGGACATAAGAGACCTAAAGAGAAGAGGAAATAAATACCTATAACTCAAACATACTAACGTACTAGGACTCTACATCCTTATCCTTATCAGCTTCTACCTTTTATCCTTTCATTCCTACATAAGTGAAAAATGAAACCTAATTGCATTTATTATTAGCTACGCTGAAGTTTTTCCGAAAGATTTCACTTACAAGTTGGGGAATGTTTTCTTTCTTGCTCAATTGTTATATTAGTAACTTCTGAGTTCATCCATATAATGCAGAGTAAGCATTGATTTTCTTGTATGTCGCAATTCCAATTATTCTGTTGGTATTTTGCAAAACTCTCACATGACCCTTATTTAAATAAGCAGCTCTTGACGCATCAAGCATATCTCAAATGTAATTGCATTGACTATACCTTATTTGATATGAGCTTTCTTTATTCTGTGTTCCAATCAAGTTTGTAATGAAATGTTTAGCGAGGTCAAGGTGATGTCTCCTCATTTTGGACTTAGATGGGATATACTATTGAATATTGATGACCTATCGATGTAGGATTAAGGTTTTATTACTACAATTTAATATATGAATCTATATGTTCCTTCACTTGCACCAGATTCCTGAAACTGGTGTAGCGCTATGGATAGTACTCTTCTTCTTGTGGATTGTTACTACAATGACAAGACTGAGATTGTGGTGGTTCTGTTGGGTATTGTTTGTCCTAAGTTTCTTACCATAAATAGGTTTCCTTTTAGGAAAAAGTTTAAGGATTTGACTAATCTTTTTCTTGGAGGAAAAGGTTTAGGAATCTATAAATATAGGTTTGTTCCTTGTGACTTAATCATCATTCACAATGTATTCCTAGGGTTTGGAGAGTTTCGGTTATGGGGGAGAATTTGTGAACCTCTTTGTATTCCGAGTGAATTGGTTGAGGTTATTTCTCTCTATATTTTGTACTCTCATATTTATATAGTGGATTGTTCATCTCCTTTGTGGATGTTAGGTCGATTGACCAAACCACGTTAAATTTTTGTGTCTTTTAGTATATTTTCTCGTTTGTCTTCTTACTCATGGTCTTTCGAGGTTTGCTTTGCTAACTTCCACATTACACTTGATTATTTTTTTGTCCTAACATGTTCTTGAATTTTGGACCAAATAGAAGCGAATATTTGATCCCTTTGAATTCCATATTCGAAGAATGAAATCAAGAAAATGGTGATTGAAGAAAATTTCCCAAAACTTTCATTAGTACGGGAAGCATATATATATATATTTTTCCATAGCTACATTTTAACTTGTGGAATTCAAAGTCCTTCATTGATTCTCATAATACGATGACCTCAATTATTTACACTTAATGAAGATATTATTTAGATTTTACTAATTGTTTGTTTGCATTTTAGGTCTGTATTTAATGTCATAAGGAGATATTAGAAACAATGAAACTGCAAAATGTTTCATTGTCAAATCATCACACAATTTTTAAAAAGTCATCCGAACGAGTACAATAGTTCATCTGAGTTAATTCAAATAGTGAATTAACTTGCATAAATTGGCTATTTTTTAAAACATGACTCTTATTCTTTGAAAAACTTTGTTTTAAACATACTTATATGAATTTAGATCTTGAATTAAATTATATATACCAAGCTTAGTAAAAATATATTAAAAGGTTATACGACATGAGGCAGGGCGATATGGGTTGAAACTATTTTAATCAACTTAATATGCAATTTTCATTCTTTCTTCTCTATTTTTCATCATTTTGCCTTTTTCTTTTCTTTTTTTCTTGTAACTAATGTACTCTTTTTTTTCATGTTTCCATGTGAGGTTTCAGCATATTTATCACACATTTTCTACTAATTTCTCTTTTTCTTTTTAATTAAAATATAATTAGAAATTTGTCTGTACAAGAGGTACTAGCTATTCGAACTATCATAATTTTAAACTCAATAATTTTTCTCAATGATAAGTCTTTCTGGTCAATCTAAAAATTATTTAAATTGTTAAAAATACAACAACAACAACAACATACCCAGTGAAATCCCACTAGGTGGGGTCTGGGGAGGGTAGAGTGTACGCAGATCTTACCACTACCTCGTGGAGGTAGAGAGGTTATTTCCGAAAGGCCCTCAGCTCACAAATTGTTAAAAATAGAAAACTTAAATTCATATAAGGAGAAGTTAGCTTAAATGAATAAACAAATTAGGAACTAAGCATTCATTTGGATCAAAATTAGTCATCACCCGCACCCACGTATATCTTAACATGTCTCACATCGGCCTACACTAAAATCTCATTAAATTTATATATGTAGAATCATTAAATATTATTATTTGTAAACGTATTAAAGAGTGTTTTGAGATTCAATAAAGGTCAATTTCGATTACATTAAAATCATGATATTTTACTAATTTATGTATCATATTTATTGAATTCACATAAAAAAAAATTATTATACACAAAATACAATGAATACATCAAAAATTGTATCTTACTAAATTATGTTTCATATTTATAAAGTATAATATATGTGTCTGATTCATTATAATATATTCTTTAACTTGGGAACCAGTTACGTGCAAGGTGCCGTTCGAAAAGATAATATCGAAACTTTTGGATGCAATAAGAAAAACTAGAGATGGACTTCCACTAAATTTAAATTTTAACAAAAAAAAAAATAGAATCATATTTCACTAAATTATCTTAGATATATTTGAAGAAATATTAATTTATAATATTAATTAAACCATATATTTATGAAAGAGTGTTCTAAAAATGTATTAATTTATTATCTTATCAAAATGAGTGATTTTTTATTTTAATGTCCTAAGTCAGAATCAGTGAAAAATAAGATTATTAATTTACGGAGTAATAATTTAGTGAATGCTGGATGTCAAAAGTTAGTCCAAATATAAGGTCTACTGTGAAACAAAATCGAAACAAAGGCCAGAACTTTCTCAATTCCGATTCTACAGAGGTAATTCTCCTTTTCTTCTTCTTCTCTCTATATTTTCAACTCGGATTCCACATAGCTTCTCTATAGTTGTTGTAACAGTAGACATGAAAATGCGCTTATAAGCATTAGCAATCTGGCAGTTCAATTTTCTGCTGATTTCGGGCTTCAATGGACTAGATCTGGATACGATTGTTATTTTGACCATTGTTCTTCTCAATTTAGTTCCGACCTTTTGTTCAAGTCAACTTGATTTTTCTTCTGAACTAACCTGTATGATTTGTTATGTAATGACGAATATACAGTTCCTGTTGAAGTGCTTTTAGGACAATAACTACAGACTATCTGTTTTCACTGTCGCTGTGATGGCGCGTGAAGGGTTGCTTCATGTTTATACGTTTCGGATCCAGATTTGAATTTTCTGTTTTTTTTTATTGTGTGGTGGTGGTTTATTTTTTCATAAGCTGCTTCGAATTATGATCTGATGATGGAAGTAAGTAGTATTAGTATTTTTCTAACTAATGCTTTATAATTTACAATTTGGATGGCATGGATCTTGTGGTTTACTTTGGAGTTTGAAAAGATTTTTTAGTCAACCATTAACTTTTAAATATCTAGTTTTTGTTTGTTTAATTCTTAAGCAAGAGTTTAATTGAGACAAGTAAGTGTTTAGCATTATGGTTCAAGTTCTTGGAATCGTGGTATTCAAGTTCTTTAATCCAATTGCATTAAGTTAATGGACTGAATGGATCAACCAGTTGATTATTCACCCTCCATGTGTACTTGATATAAAGGTTTCGTACTCTTAAATTCAAGAGACAAGTGTGAGAGAGAGACAGCATGGTAATTTTGTCTAGGATAGAACTGAGATTCAGTTGGGAATATAGTAGAAAGTATACAAGCCTCATGTTGACATGACACAATGTGGATTTTTGAATCTGACTTACTGAGATTGGGTGGATTTGCTCTGACCAAAGAGCAGATGAAGAAGAGAAAGGAAGAAAACTTGGATGAATCCTCATCTAAGATTAGAAAATAGTTGCTTTAGTAGAATAGATTGTGTTTTGAGAAGAGAATGATAATAGTTTTCCCTTCTTATATTCTATTTAGCACATAATCTCTTACCTGTTAGTTCCACATTGATTATTCTAGATTGGTTAGGTTTGGAACTAGTAAATATTGGACTGCAAATTCTTAATCATTTAAATAGGAGTGGAAAAATAGGTGATAAACTACAAGAAGTCGAGATCTGGTGCCAAAACATTATTAAGTTTCTCCTGCACACATACATATAAGAAATACATGCTATTCTACTCTTGGAATCTCATAGTGCTGTAGATTAACTGCTTGTGATTTTTCTATTTTGCTCAGAACATTATTAAACTTATTATGATATTATTACTATCAAATTAACTGAATGGCCATCTTCTAAATTTCGTCTTTACATAGTCCATCGTAATGTAACAATGAAGACTGACTTTTCTTTCTTGCTACAGTTTAATCCATGGTAATTCATGTTATCTTCTAATAGTCAGTTATGTCTGAAATGTTATCGAGGATCTTAGAAGGATACAATTCATTCTTCATTGCAGTTGTTTCAGTTTTATAGACGAGAATGGAATCTAGCAGGGGTGGCCAGAATGGAATTCAACTCCTTTTAGCTGCCGAGCAGGAAGCCCAACGCATCGTCAATGTTGCCAGGACTGGTAATTGCTTTTACCTCCTTTGGGCATCCACTTACCTTTTGACCTGGATCTTTGTCTCTTTAACTACACTATCAGTTATGTCTCTATTACGGTGCCCATATATTTGTCCTGTCGTGGTGTGCATGCTTATTGTCTTTGGATGCTTTCATATTTTTTTAACCTAGATTAGCATATGCTAGTTGTGTTTACATTTTTGGGTAATAATTGAGTTGTAGTTGGCAAAATTGTCAAGGACAACCAAAAGCTTATATTTTGGTATCTTTCTCTTTACTGATCAAACAAAAATGAAATGTAATATTTTGGTATCTTTTATTTCTTTTGTCTAACTTTTAGTATGAGTTGTGTCTCTGGTTTTCTTGACCATATCATTTAGAGCACCGTGAATGCTTGGGATTAGGTTTATAAAAGGAGCATGTGTGCTAACATGAGTTTCATGTGCAGCTAAACAAGCTAGATTGAAGCAGGCCAAGGAGGAAGCTGAGAAGGAGATAGCTGAATTCCGTGCTTACATGGAGGCTGAATTTCAGAGAAAGCTTGAACAGGTAACTAGGACACAAATTGTTTCTAGAAGATCCTATTCGCACAAGAATGGTATCAAGTTGTTTGTTCTGAGAAAATAATGACTTCTACCAGATCTTGTCCTCCTTTGAAATGCTTTACATTTTACACTTGATCATAGCCAAAAGGATAAGAAAGGTATCACAGTGTGCATTGTCAGCAAACCCCTCTATATGTTTTCTTGTCCTCTATGGGGTCGTTTGGTAGAGTGTACAAGAATAGTGCTAAATATGGTGTATTAGTAATGCTCATTAAGAATGTTGGTATTAGTTATGGTTGCATTAGTTATGCTAATATCATTTCATATGCAGTGTTTGGTTTGGTGTATTAAAAATAACATATATTGCATAATTTCTAAAAAACATGTTTGTTTAGAAAATACCCTCCACAAATATGGTAGAAAGGATGTGGAAAATATTTTGAGGCACTAATTGTGTTTTTAGCCATGCTACTGTATGCATTTTAAAACTCCTTGCATTAGTAATATCATGAATTTCCATGTATTAGTTATCTTGAGATTACTTCTTTTGCAGCGTTTGGTTTGCTGTATTAAAACTAACATGTATGATGTAATGCATAATTTCTGAAAAAGTATTTGTTTTCAAAAATACCCTCCACAAATATGGTAGAAAGGATGTGGAAAATATTTTGAGGCACTAATTGTGTTTTTAGCCATGCTACTGTATGCATTTTAAAACTCCTTGCATTAGTAATATCATGAATTTCCATGTATTAGTTATCTTGAGATTACTTCTTTTGCAGCGTTTGGTTTGCTGTATTAAAACTAACATGTATGATGTAATGCATAATTTCTGAAAAAGTATTTGTTTTCAAAAATACCCTCCACAAATATGGTAGAAAGGATGTGGAAAATGTTTTGAGGGGTAATTGTTCTTTTACCATACTAATGTATGCATTAGTACCCTTTACATTACTAATACCAAATAGAGTGTATATACTTATACATAGGTTGAAAAAGTGTACCAAACAAGGTACTAGTAATACACAACTAATGCATGCATTATTGTTCTAATACTTTCGACCAAACGGCCCCTTTAGATCCCTAAATATGATTTATTTTCTTCTCTAGCATGTTTCTAAGTGGTGATAACAAAAATGAGTCCAAATTTAATCCTCAATGACCGACACTAACAATATACTCACTCAGAACTGCATCGATTTTCCAATTTCTCTGTCCTTGTGGGGGTGTGGGAGAAAGGAGATGTTTTGGGCTGTGGGTCTGACTTCTTTTCTCTATAATTGACTAAGCATGGTTCCTGATTTCTCTCATTTACAGACTAGTGGTGACTCAGGTGCTAATGTCAAACGTCTTGAGATTGAAACTAATGAAAAGATCGAACACCTGAAGACTGAAGCGTCAAGAGTCTCTGCTGATGTTGTCCAAATGCTTCTGAGGCACGTAACCACAGTGAAGAACTAAAATCTTCTGTGGATGTAGTGGGTCACGCTTAATGTCATTTTGCAGAATTATGCTCCTCCCATTCATGGTTCTTGTGCTTGATCAGTCTGATGGATGTTCACCATTTGTATCGTATGTTTGTTATCATTATTTATTGTCTTGCTCTGTTGAATAAAGCAACTCATTTGAGCTCCTTTCGACCTATGTTTTGTAAACGAAAGATCAGAAACCAAGGTTCAGCGTCTAGGCAGCATGTCAGTTTCTTATATGTATCTAGATTCCGGGGAGTTATGTAATGAACTTGTCTCTGCATGTATTGTGTTATATGAAGTGATGCAGCTGTAAACAGGAGTGTGACTTTCTTTCTGTTGATAAATTTGCAGTTTCAATATGCTTTTTCTTACCATGATCTTGAGAAGATTTTTTATTCTGTAATACATATGTACAATGTCTAGCATCAGACTGATACACTTCAAGAATGCAACATAGAGAGGTCTTGAAGAATTTGTACTGCAACTATACCACACGCAACTATTCCTACAGTGACAAGGGCAGGTCTTGCTATTGATATTTTTGGTTCACTGTCCTTTCCTTTGCTATTATGCATAGCCCACGCCATTGCTGGTGGTAGAATGCCATATAGCATTGTCATGCAGTAACCGCCCTGCAAACATAACATTATAATGAAGAATCGATATCCAAAGTGCTTTCTTATTGAATGAAACGTGAATTTAAACTCACTGCTATATCTGTAGCAGCAGAAAATGCATCTGGAATTGCTGTTGACAAAAGTAGAGGGGGAGCAATGGCAATTGCTGTTGCTGTGAAGCCTAAATTGTTTCTTATCCACCATTTTCTTAGACGGATTTGAGAAGTTGATCTCTGCTAGGTTTTAAATTAAAGTAGTTAGACAAGAGACACTAAATTTACACCCAAGAAGCCAAATGTTACCTGTAAATCTAATCTTGTGGATACACGCGATTGCAGGTTAAGGTTATTGAGTTGCTCTTTGAGAAACTCAGAGAAACTTAGAAGAGTACCAATTAGAGATGTCCCCACAGCTAGAAGAGAGAATGCCTGTACCATATATGAAACTCCACTCCATTTGACCCTGATAATGTATTGTCATTCCATATACATCTTTTTGGCAAGTCAAGACAGTCGTATGAAAACGTTGATCAAGAGTGAGTGTAAAATGACCTGAGGAGCAATTCAACAGGGTCAACAACTTGATCAACCTGGGATGAAAGGCCAAAGGCAATTGCATCCCAAACAAGCAACGCTAGGAGGGGAACCAGACCACCAATCAACACAGAAGCTCTTATTCGTTTCAGATCACCTTCCAGGTAAGCACACAGAACTGCAACAACAATCACAAATTGGTGAGAGAAAAAAAAATAAGGAGAAAACACTTGTAAAAAAATTGTTTGTGTTTGTTCACCAGGAGCTAGATCATGGTAGACTAAAGAGAATATTAATACTGGTATGGTTGATGGAACTTTTCCCCAATCACTGCTTACTTCGTCTCCTGACCACCCTCCATATAGAATGGTTAGAACCTCAATTGCCACAAGCAGTCCTGTTTGAACTTTTATTCAGATGACCCTTTTTCCTTCATTAAACAAATTGAAACGAAAACATTCAATCATAGCTACCTATCATAAGAGCAGTGAGCCACTGATTGACTTGATCAGTGGCTTTTGTCCCACCTACAGATATGAGAATTGTGAAGAGGGAAGTGAAGAAAAAGCCCAAAACTGATTCCGGTAGATTGATCAAATGGCAGAGGATTTCACCGGACTTGGAAATGTAAGCAATCATTGAAGTGTATCCTAAGAAGACGTAGGTTATTGTAGCCAAGGCTCCACCCCATTCTCCTAGTGTTTCTTCAGCCATTGTTCTAATCGAAATGATCTCTAGTTCACCGTCTTCAAATTTCACTTTGTTCTTTTTGAGTAACCCCACATTGATTTCAACTAGCACAAGTGCTTCAATTAGTAGAAATGCCCAACACATTGTCATAGCTATTGAACTTGGGATTATTCCCTGCAATTCACGACATAACCAATGTTGTAAGATTGATCTGAAATCAATGTAATGGTTATATGTTTGTGCTTATTTCTTTTCACTACCATTCCATTTATAGAGGTTCACATTGGTCTAAGCCTTGGTGCCATGTTTACTTAGTACATCTGCTTCGGTGGAAGATAACAGGTACCAGTGAAAGACGCAAGGTGCACGCGAACTTATGAACACACTTTTTAGGAGCTAAAGAAAAGAGTAGACACCACCATTGCCCATGATTTCTAGTTTCAAAATATGCAGCATTATAATAGGAGTGCTAATATGATGGCCTAATAATAAAAGAAGAAACATACTCCCTCTGTCCAACAATAGTTGTCCACTATTGACCTGACATACATCTTAAGAAATAATAAATAATAGAGTAATATTACTACATTACTCTTTGAATATATTAAATTTAATGATTTGGGAAATATATTAGATATTGAATAGTATTTAACAGCAACGGTAAACTAGACACAAAAGGGTATATTATCTGTTGATTTTCCAAACTGGACAAGTATTGTTGGACAACTATTTTTAGTATGATGGACAAATAAAGATGGACGGAGGGAGTATATAGTTACCGCAGGAGAAGTTTTTTGGGGAAGAGCAAGAATCCCAGAACCAATACTTGTTCCAATGATTAGAGCAACAGCACCAGCTACTGTGCCTTTTTTCTTGTAAATTCTCTGAGTCACTTCAGAACATTCTTTCCCTCCTTTATTGCTGAAATTTTCCATGAATTTGGTGCCCATTCTCGTCTACGTTGCCTTTGCTGATAATCGAAACTGTTCAGAATTTATAATTGAAAGAATTATAGTGTTAGATTATCTATGAAAACTGAAGTTGAAGTGACAATTATAGGTAAAGAGATTAGAGTGACATATACATTCTGTATTTCAAGACAATTGTCTTCTTTTCTTGATGCCATAATGATAATTTTGCCCATTGACAATGTGATCTTGATTCATAAATTCTTGTGATCTTTCCATTAGTGAAGGAAGGTGAAGAAGCTAGGGAATGAATATCCATGAGATAGATTCCCTACTATCTTGGAAGAGGAAGAATCTTTGGAACTTGGTTGAAAAAGTTTGCCATATTTGAGTCCATTCTATCACATGGGGATGCTGAGGTTCAAATTAACTTTGGGGCCACTAAAAATGTTATTGTCACAAAAGTTCCCAAATATCACTACCTAAAGATCCATTCTTCCCACAAAACAAAATATATTTACTACTCCTCTCTCCATTTCCATTAAGTTATCATGTATACTAAAAATAATTGTTCTCAAATACTTTCCTTGTTCACTTTTTGAAAAATCGTCGTTTTACTTATCTTTAATCCCTTTGTTCAAATTCAACTTTTTGATGAAATGACCACTTATCCTAAATACACACGATTAACAATGTAAACCAATAATTTTAAAAATATACACACATATACAATTTTACTTGTCATTTTTAACATATCAAGTAAAGACCAAAAAAAAAATCATGTTTTTTTTACCTTTAGCATTATTTACTTATTCTTCAAATAAATTTTCAAGACCTAATACTAAACATTAGTTAATATGGATACGGAAAAGCGCCAAAAATAACCATGGACTATTTGGAAAGGTATAAAAATACCTCTCATTCACCTATTGGGTTAAAAATACCCCTCAATCCACCACCTATTTAGCGTATTTCTATCCTTAAAACTAACAACCTTTTTAAAAAATATATATTATTGTTATTATTATCAATTATTACATGTCATTTTTTTATTAGATAAATTAAATCCCCCAACCCATTTAGTTTTCTCATACCCACCCATTTAAGTGCCCATGACCCAAACTCAATTAGAAAACCCAAACCCAATATTGGAATTTAATAAGATAGGATTCTCGAGTACCAAGACCGATTTTGTGTACGGAATGTGGAAAAGCCTTATAAAATAAAAAGACGAAAGTCTATCATTTGTGGTATTCAATTCACCCAAGAGAGATGAAAATGTACCATGACCTCAGGTCTATCGGTGGAATAAAATGGAAAAAATGTTGTGGAGTTCGTGGCTTAATGTTTGAATTGTCAACATGTAAAGATAAAGCACTAGAAGCCCGGAGGACTAGCTCATAACATATAGATTACAAAATGGAAATGAAAAGTTATTAATGTAGATTTCATCACATGTTTATCCCGCACTTACTGGGAAGTATGATTCTATATGAGTAATTATCGACAGGCTTATGAAGTTAGCTCATTTTCAATCCATTAGATAGGCCAAGTTGTAAATAAAAGAGACACTTCAACTCCATGGTGTTTCGATTTCTATTTTCTCAGATAGGGAAGCCTAGTTTATGACTTAACTTTTGGAGATCCTTCCATCGAGATTTAGGTCCCAGGTGAACCTCAGTACAACATTTCACCCACTAACAAATGGCCACAACAAGTGCATTATTTAGATGCTCAAAGACATGTTACGAGCTTGTTTGCAAAATTTCTAAGGGAGCTGGAATGATCACTTACCTCTTATTGAGTACCCAAACACCGTAAAAGTTCTTAAAAGGACCTAAAACAAATAATCCAAACAGGCTCTTAGGCATTTGTGAGAAACACGCTACGAAGAAAGGCAAGTTTTGATGGGATAAGTGATCAAACGAAATGCACAATGCTTTAAAAAATATCAAACTCCATTTTTCTTGAATAAGTTTGCTATGACCAAGATTAGTTCTTTTATTTTCTATTGAATATCATTATCCTACTCGGTTGAGGTTGAGGTTTACACAGGGCCTGAAGTTCAAACAAAGAATTGTACGACAATTGGTAACACAATAAATTTATTTCATTAAATTTGAAATATCATGAATTAACATATTCATACATCTCACAATAACATTTTTACCTGGACTCAATAATCACAATTGTTTTTAACTCCGACTGAAAGACAAGCAAGTGGGGAAGTACAAAGGTACAACATGAGGTTTTATATGGAACAAGAACCTAAGATTGCCTAGTCCATCACACAAAACTTATACATTGCTGGAACTCTATAAAGAGGCATACAGGAGATATCTACCTCCTCTAAACAGTACCTCCTAAGGGTTGATAAAAAATAACTATTCAGGAAAAAAAACTTCTCAAATTTGTAAGGAGAGGCAATTTAGCCAGAAGTTGTTTCACTGTATAAAGCTGCTGGGTTCCGTTCAGAGGGTAACCTCAGCTGATTCAGGTGTCGATGAGTGCAAAGGTTCCTGTAGTTCAGGATTAATTGGGAACATCATACACTGTGAATACTGAGCCATTAACTGATCGACAAGCACCAAGGCCACCATTGCTTCAACCATTGGAACAGCTGTAGCATCACAACCATCAAACTATTGTCATTTTCAGGGGGTGGAAAGAAAACAGGATATAGAGAAGAGCAGGCTTGGAAGTTGAATAGGATAGCAGATGTCCTTTTTCTGGTTATGTTTATCAATAAGTTATAAAACTAACAAATTTCACCTTGTCCTAATCAAGGACACAGATAAGTTTCACAGATTCACAGGAAAGTCGAGATGGCTTCTATGACTAGACAAGATAATAGCAGACTTCAAAGAACTACCAAAACAAAGAGTAACAGGCAAGTATCATTTCAGAGACAAACCTCGGGGAACCACACAAGGATCATGGCGACCCCTAGCGATGAGTTCTGTTTCGTGTTTGTCTCTCGTCACAGTTTGCTGCTTCCTCTGCATGAGAATTCAAATGAGATAATTAAACTGCTTCTTAAATATAGTCCTGAATATATATAATTGACCTAGTCAAATAAATCAGATAACAGCTAATGAAATGACTAGAATTTCTGCAAGAAAATGGTAAACAAGAAGTTCAGTTTTAAAAATATATTGTAGTTTACTCCAAACAAATCACCGAGCAAAGGTGCTAGAGCAGTACAATTATATCATCCTACACCGAGAAGGACTAATGAGAAATGAGCGGATTGAAGACAGGGAGAGAGTTCTCACAGAAATAGTTGAAGTTGGCTTGAAACCTATTCTCATATTGATAACTTCTCCATTTGATATACCGCCCTGCAAATTAGAAGTTAGACAATTAAAAATTCTGCTCCTGTCAATATATCATTAACCTAAAGAATACTGGGCAAAGTCTACCTGGATTCCACCAGATCTGTTGGTTCTTGTCCTGATTCGGCCATGCTCATCCATATAGAATTCATCATTATGCTCGCTACCGGTCATGAATGTGCCTTTATTTTCACCAGAAGCAATATTTCCATTAGATTTCCATCAGAGAACGTAGCATTTAATGGTGTTTATAAGTTGTTGAAATAGGTCAGAAGTACTTGGGGGTCATTTGGTTGCTGGTTAGGAAGGGAGTTATTCAGGTATTAAAACTATTATAGCTAATACCATATTTGGTAGCATTTTAGTTGCTCCGTATTAAATTCAGCACACCAAGTAAGGGAGTTTGATAGGAGATAGAATAATTGATATAGGGATTAGTAATACATTGATAAAATAACTGAAATGACAAATTTACTTAAATTTATGGCTTTGATTGCAATGCTTTCACATGCAAACTGCCTACTATATTTATCATGCATCTTAAACAAACATTTTATTTCAAAACTATATACTGTTACTAATTTCTAATACAACAAACCAAATATCCAAAGAAATAAGTCATGCATTGTAATCTCTGCATAACTATTACTTTCATTACTTGTTCCTACATAACTAAACCCTACAAAACTAATCTCTGCATAACTCTAACCAGCAACCAAACGACCCCTTAAAATCTATGATTCAGAATTGATACACCAACCACTGATGCGATCCCACCAACCCAAAAGTCAATTGGCAGTGAATAAAATATGAAATGTCGGCAATACCTTTGTCTGCCTCCCCCTATAGCCAGAGCAGCAACCAACACACTCTAGGCAGCCTAGACCTAACTTGAATACAGCATGCTTTGAGGACCCAAAACACTGTTTAAAGTCACAATTACCTACTTAAAGCCTAAAAGCATTATCCTTCCTTTTCTGTTGACAATCATAAAAGCTATTTCATTATAACCTAGCCATCATTCAAAAACACAAGTCTTTAAGATGCTTGTCTGCATCTTTTGTCAAACAACATCTTAAGCTTGAGAGTACAGAAACTACTGAGCTTCTATAGGAGTCAGTGGCCCAATCATATACTCAGAGCAGAGAACTTTCCGTGTCAAAAGTCCATAACTGGACATTTTGACAGCAACAGCTAAATGATTACTACTGTGTTACTAGTTTTATAATATAATTATTGAAGGAATTCTTGTCAGTTGAAAAAAATCACCCATTTTAAGAACATCTTGAGGAATGTTTATCTGCTTAGGACTAGCTATGCTCATGGAAAATGCATTAGAAAAAACATGCCAAGGCCTTCAGTGATAAAGTTAAGCTACATCTCCTAGAAACAGTGAAGTAAAGATGATGTACCTGCAAAGCCACTTCCAAACTCAAAACCCTTTGTCGCAGGTAATGACATGCAAGCTTTGGCTAGCTCAGCTTCAAGTTTATCGAAGACTGGTGTACCAAGACCCTAGTAAGCATTAACAAACTCTCAGGCACGTATTTTACAATTTGAGATGAAATTTTATGTTAGCTACCAAAGAGGTTCAGATATACATATCACACTTCCAAGTTACAGAGAGAGAAATAGCTTACCCGTGGGAGATTTCTAACAATGCAAGTTACAACACCACCAACAGAATCCCCTCTCACTCGTACAGCATCAATAGCAGCAATCATCTTCTCTGCATATTCCGGATCTGGGCATCGGACAATATTGCTTTCTATCTGGTATCATAGATAATTACCAAAAACAAATACAAGTCATCAGCATGAAAAACATCAAACAATCAAGTAGATAAGACATGCTGGAGAAAAATCTCAGTTAAATGGGAAGCTCATAACAAAACTACTTTAAATGAAATATGATAGACACAAAATAGAAGCACAAAAGGTCTCTTCATTTTTTTGCCTACTAAGCCAGAAATATGATGCTCTTTATGTGCTAAAGGCAGTCTGTATCAGCCAAAGATGGTGTCCACCACAGGCACAAACCTATACCATTATCACAATGGCAGCTTCTACAATCTCACTCA